CGCCACAAAAAGCTAAGCCTATGCCACAAAAAGCTAAGCCTATGCCACAAATAGCTAAGCCTATGCCACAAATAGCTAAGCCTATGCCACAAATAGCTAAGCCCATGCCACAAATAGCTAAGCCTATGCCACAAAAAGCTAAGCCTATGCAACAAAAAGCTAAGCCTATGCCATAAATAGCTAAGCCTATGCCACAAAAAGCTAAGCCTATGCCATAAATAGCTAAGCCTATGCCACAAAAAGCTAAGCCTATGCCACAAAAAGCTAAGCACATGCCACAAATAGCTAAGCCTATGCCACAAAAAGCTAAGCCTATGCAACAAAAAGCTAAGCCTATGCCACAAATAGCTAAGCCTATGCCACAAAAAGCTAAGCCTATGCCACAAAAAGCTAAGCCTATGCCATCTATAGCTAAGCCTATGCCACAAAAAGCTAAGCCTATGCCACAAATAGCTAAGCCTATGCCACAAATAGCTATGCCACAAAAAGCTAAGCCTATGCCATAAATAGCTAAGCGTATGCCACAAATAGCTAAGCCTATGCCACAAAAAGCTAAGCCTATGCCACAAAAAGCTAAGCCTATGCCACAAATAGCTAAGCCTATGCCACAAAAAGCTAAGCCTATGCCACAAATAGCTAAGCCTATGCCACAAAAATGCCACAAAAAGCTAAGCCTATGCCACAAAAAGCTAAGCCTATGCCACAAAAAGCTAAGCCTATGCCACAAAAAGCTAAGCCTATGCCACAAAAAGCTAAGCCTATGCCATAACTAGCTAAGCCTATGCCACAAATAGCTATGCCATAAATAGCTAAGCCTATGCCACAAATAGCTAAGCCTATGCCATAAATAGCTAAGCCTATGCCACAAATAGCTAAGCCTATGCCACAAATAGCTAAGCCTATGCCACAAAAAGCTAAGCCTATGCCATAAATAGCTAAGCCTATGCCACAAAAAGCTAAGCCTATGCCACAAATAGCTAAGCCTATGCCATAAATAGCTAAGCCTATGCCACAAAAAGCTAAGCCTATGCCACAAATAGCTAAGCCTATGCCATAAATAGCTAAGCCTATGCCACAAAAAGCTAAGCCTATGCCATAAATAGCTAAGCCTATGCCACAAAAAGCTAAGCCTATGCCACAAAAAGCTAAGCCTATGCCATAAATAGCTAAGCCTATGCCACAAATAGCTAAGCCTATGCCACAAAAAGCTAAGCCTATGCCACAAATAGCTAAGCCTATGCCACAAAAAGCTAAGCCTATGCCACAAAAAGCTAAGCCTATGCCACAAATAGCTAAGCCTATGCCACAAATAGCTAAGCCTATGCCACAAATAGCTAAGCCTATGCCACAAATAGCTATGCCACAAAAAGCTAAGCCTATGCCATAAATAGCTAAGCGTATGCCACAAATAGCTAAGCCTATGCCACAAAAAGCTAAGCCTATGCCATAACTAGCTAAGCCTATGCCATAAATAGCTAAGCGTATGCCACAAATAGCTAAGCCTATGCCACAAATAGCTATGCCACAAAAAGCTAAGCCTATGCCACAAAAAGCTAAGCCTATGCCATAAATAGCTAAGCCTATGCCACAAAAAGCTAAGCCTATGCCGCAAATAGCTAAGCCTATGCCACAAATAGCTATGCCACAAAAAGCTAAGCCTATGCCACAAAAAGCTAAGCCTATGCCACAAATAGCTAAGCCTATGCCACAAAAAGCTAAGCCTATGCCATAAATAGCTAAGCCTATGCCACAAATAGCTAAGCCTATGCCACAAATAGCTAAGCCCATGCCACAAATATCTAAGCCTATGCCACAAAAAGCTAAGCCTATGCCACAAATAGCTAAGCCTATGCCACAAATAGCTAAGCCTATGCCACAAATCGCTATGCCACAAAAAGCTAAGCCTATGCCACAAATAGCTAAGCCTATGCCACAAATAGCTATGCCACAAAAAGCTAAGCCTATGCCACAAAAAGCTAAGCCTATGCCATAAACAGCTAAGCCTATGCCACAAATAGCTAAGCCTATGCCACAAAAAGCTAAGCCTATGCCACAAAAAGCTAAGCCTATGCCATAAATAGCTAAGCCTATGCCACAAATAGCTAAGCCCATGCCACAAATAGCTAAGCCCATGCCACAAATAGCTAAGCCTATGCCACAAAAAGCTAAGCCTCTGCCACAAATAGCTAAGCCTATGCCACAAAAAGCTAAGCCTATGCCACAAATAGCTAAGCCTATGCCACAAAAAGCTAAGCCTATGCCACAAATAGCTAAGCCG